TTATGCTGTGATCCGAATCGGCTGACTCCCGTTGCCTGCTCCTGTTGCTGTTTGTGCACGGTACACATTTACATAAGGGCCAACCCCATTGCCATTTCCCCCCTTTGCCTTTCCCTTTGGAAGTTTTCAAAGTTGTCTGTCTGTCTGCTTCATCAGCATGTTTCAAGGCCCTCTCTCTCTCTCGGCCGTGCACTCATTGAATGCTATGGCAAGTCATTTGCATATTTGTTGTTTATGTTGAAAACAAGATTTCGTTATTAACTTTGCTTAATTTGTTTGCCGATGAAAATGGAAATGAAAACGAGAGCGCTAGCGTGTGCTAGACAGTAAGCGCGAGACAGAGAGACAAAGAGAGTCAGAAAGAGAGAGAGAGAGAGAGCTGCGGTAAACGAAAGCGAATTGAGCCATCGAAGAAGCCGAAAAAAAAAAATATTCTGTTGACCGAAGCTGTTTCATCGCCTCAATGGTTTTTGGATTTGTTTGTGCTCTCATCCCTTTGGGTTAAGGGCTCTTATTAATTGCAATTTGGATTGCGCAACCCCAACCGCCCAACCGCCCAAACCGCAACCCCAAAGCTCAATCCCATCATCATGCCAGAAAACTCCTTGAGAAACAAGCGAGAGCAACAAAGCGCCCGAGACCAAGAGGAAGCCATAAATAATGCCAAGTACTGTCTGCTGTCCCTCGCTCCAACTGCACGACTGTCCGTCCGGTCCGTCCAAACGGAGTGGACAAGAAATTTGTGTTCCACTTAATTTCTGGGGACTGGGGGACGAACCATAAGACCGGCAAGGGCTGAGCTGTGCTGTTGGATCTGCCTTGCCCGATAAGATTGCGAATGAAATGTTCAAGTGGAAATTTTAGTTTGCATAAATTATGCGGCAAACGTGCAGACTGACCCCAACTGAAGATATACCCGCTAGCATCTAGTCCATGGAACTGCTTTGCATTTACAGACGTATTGCATATCAATCTTTGCTTTGTTTTGTCGCATCCAAAGTCGAACAATTACCAGTCGCCATTTTTTTGTAATTAAAATGTTATATGCCTGGAATCCCTCTTGTTAATATACATATGTAAAATCATGTGTGCCACGACAGCCACGTTGCCACGGTGCCAGGTGTAGAATTGGCTCCAGGGACAGTTCCGAGTAGCTCGTTGAGGGTATTCCAGGCATCGGTTTGTTGCAGTTCCTTTCATTTTGGTTGTAATTCGGGTGTCTGCCCTCTGTTCACAGACCACTTGTATCATATTATCCATCTAACTCTCTTGCTGCGTCTCTCTTCTCTCCCTCTCTGTCCCTCTCTCTCTTTTTCTTGTTCTCCTCTCTCTCTGTCACTGACACACTTGTCTGTCCGTGGGGCCTGTCTCGACGCCCGTCCGTGCCCATTGCCTCTTGAGTTGGGTCGCATTCGACTTTCCCTTTTCCCTTTTCGCCGTTTTGTCGAGTGCCTTTCGTTTCGATTGGTTTGCTCTGCACATTCGCGCGCATCCGCATACATCCGCACACATCCGCATGCCGGATGTTGCTTTGTTTGTCGAACTAAATGGCGTTTCCGTATCGGGGGCCTGGCATGCCATTCACCTGGCAGCCTGGACGCGTCTCGTTGTGATTGGATTGGATTGGATTTGATTCCGCGGCGCACTCTGCTAATTGTCGGTCGGGGGTCGGTCATCATCATCATCATCGCGCGTATTATCGTGATAGTTATCATCATTATAATCATCATAAGTAAAGCTGGAAACCAATTTCCGCTCATCCAAAGCAATAAAACTTTAGCCTCAGCAGCACAGCCTCCGCTCTGCAACCCTCCCCGAAGTTCAGGCCAAAAAAACTTGAGCGGCTGGACTTCAACTGCAGGCTGCAGGATGCAGGCTGCTGCTGTTGTTGCTGCAAAAAAGGCCTCAGATAATGGCCACAGGGGCATGCAACAAGAAAAAGCATGCAACAGTGGAGCAGCAGCAGCAGCAGCAGCAGCAGCAACCCTGAAAAACTTTTGACCCGAGCAAAAAGTTGATTTCCAACTAGCCCAACGACGTCCTGGTCTTGGACCTGGTCTTGGACTTGTCGAAGATTCCCGCAAAAACTTGCAGCATACACTGCGGCATGCCCACACACCCCCCGCCCAAGAAAAAAAAATATAAGAGAACCAACAACAGGCCAAAACCAAAGGGTGGAGGGGGAGAACAAAAAAACTTTGCCGACTTTTGCGGAAGAAAGTAAAAACGAAGCCTCCACTCGCACTCGCTCTGACAGTCCACTGTCAAAACTTTTTTGATTATCTTAATTGCGATTACGGGACCGCCAGAAAACCCCCAAAAAAAAAAAGAAAACCCCCAAGAAAAGCGAGCAAAAAAAAAGTAGCAGGAAAAACCCACCCAATATGCGTGCATAACCCCAAACAGAGCGACAGACAGACAGACAGAGAGACAAATAGTCGGGAGACTGCGATATACAATCGGGAAGGGAGTACACCGAGGGCTGGGGTAAGTGTCTGGAAAGAAAGCAGACGGTCAGGCAGAGAGACAGACAGACAGATAGAAAGTGGGGTGAAATTAACAAGATTGAGCCCCCCCTGCCATGTAGCTCTGGAGCTCTGGAGCTCCTGGAGCTGTGTATCTTTGTTGTATCTGTAAATGTAACTGTGGCAGGCAATGAAAGAAAATTGGGCTATCAAATGGAGGAAAAACAGGCAAGAAACAGACAACCGCTTGGCTCAAGGATGGCAAAGTTTTTTTTTGGGTACGGTACGTTTCCCCACTGCTCTGATCCGGGTTTTTGTCCACTGCAATTACACTCGATTCCCCCAAGTCCCCCAAAGGACAGGCCACCACCACCACCGATAATCACAATTCGAAAATAATAATAATAATAGTTTTTCTTTGTAGTTTTTCTTTTGATTAGCTGTGTGGGGCCGGGGTACACACTTTGAATGGCGAACGGGGGGATGCCATCCCCAAAAGTATTCCACAAGCCAATCGGCAGATCAATATACACAAGCAGAAAGCAAAATGCTGCCATAGAAGGGAAAGCGAGTGGCGCCGCAAAGCTTGCACTGGATTTTAATTGCTCTCAGCCGGCACTCGACTCAATGGCCAAATCAACATTTCATGGCATAGGTGCCCCATGCCCCTCCATGCCCCCCCCACGCACCATGCACCATGCTCCATGCCCCATGCTGCTGCTGCTGCTGCTCATAAAGTGCCTCAATTGAATCAACCAGCGGAAATATTTGCACGCACACAAACACACAAACAAAGATACAGCTACAGATACCTATGCAGAAACACAGAGAGGAAGAGAGCAATAGAGACTGAGAGGAGAGAGAGAAAGAGAGAGCAGTGGAGAGGTGAGAGTGCTCACAAAACCATGAAATGCTTTCGGGCCACAAAATTTTGTGCTTGCTCAGCATCAAATCAACAAACGAATATAAACCAAAACTCGAATTATTATTATGATTACTACGAGTATTAGCAATGGGCCACACAAATATGTAAACACATACATACTTCCATAAGTATATATATGTATATATCCATATATGGATAGGTATATATGTATATGGGAGTGCATATTGGGCCAGATGTGTCTGGCAGTGCTTTTTGTGTGCACTCTGCTGGATTTGGTACCCTTTTCGGGTAATCAACCAGAGAGTATTACGGCCTTGACCAGTCAGTGGTTTGCCAGTAAATACTGCCCAGTGTGTACATAATTCCAGATGTGTTCTCTAGTTTCTAGTTGTGAATTGAACCATTTGCAGGGGTATGCAAAGCCTCGAGGCTGGCTTTTCTTTCACGCAGATTTTTTTTTTTATGTGTGTTCAAATTTTGCACTAGCTTCGCCCAAAGCTGGGGGGGGTGGGGGTTTCTGGTTGGTATTGGGAAAGCTTTTTCATGTCATGGCATCGACAGAGAGCAGCGAATGAGCTGCAAACATAAATGCAACCCGAACAAGCAGCTGCGCTACGCAAAACTCACCCATGGGGCATGCATAATCTATGCGAGGCAGAAGCAGATTCAGTTGATGGTTCAATTCCATGCGTTCCAATATCCCAAAAAGTTAGTCAACAAGTCAAGGAATTTAAGGGCAAGAATTGAAATATTTAGAAATGAAATGGAAAACTGTTCGGCAAGGAATGGAATGGAATGGAATCATTGCAAATGCTGTGCTTCGCTGGGAATGGAATTGTGTAATTTGGAATCCAAGGTCTGAAATGGAACATGGAACATGGGAAAATATTTTCTTGCTTCTCCCGATTCATTTCAAAAGCGAAACTGTAGATCTCTAGAGCAGAATCCGATTCTTAGCGCATGCCACGCCACGCCACACCACACCACACACCACACACTCACCCCTGGCCAGGGGACGCACTCCACTCACCGAACGAGTGGGCGGCATGACAGGATAAACCACTTTGGGCCGAATCGGACCGGGGCCGGAGACCGATTTCGCGCCATGCCCCAACGCTTTATGCAAATAATGGGCGCAATGTGTCATTGGGTTGCCACCTGCCGAGCCACCGACTGACAGCTCAGATGAAGTGTCGCTGACAGGACGCGAATGTGGCTGCGGCAGCGGCAGTAGCAGCGACTGCGACGGCGGATACGGATGCCAAGCGCATCGGTATGTGGTATGATGGATCAAACAGGCAGATACCCACAGATAAACATACGTATGCCCACATGGATGTGTGTGTACATAAAATGTATAAAATATTGGCTGTCTACACGAATCCTAGGCAAGAGGGCAAGACACCAAACCGAACAGAGCCGGGGAATTCAATTTATATGCAAATGATATGCAAGGCGTCGCAAGAAAAACCTCAAGCCCCGCACCCCACACCCCACACTCCAAAACCGAAGCCCATGGCAGAGGGGAAACTGAAAAGACATAAAAAAAAACCAATTGAAAGTGTAACTGAAGGGCGTTCGACTATGGGAATTTTAATTATATTTATTAAAAATGTAATTATGTAAAAAGGAAGGAAACAAACACAAACACACAATAAATAATAAAATAATAAATATCCAAGCCAATTAGCAAGACTCGAGACTCGTCGTCGCTCAGGTGAAGTATCGTATGCCCTCGGCGGAGTCATCCCTCACATCGTAGCTGCTTGGACGGTACTCCTTGGGGCCCTTACTGTTGCCATAGCTCTGCTTGCAGGGCCTTTCAGTCGCCTCCTCGGACTCTGGGTATGGCTCCTCCTCCTCCTCCTCTGCGGGATAGCCTAAAGTGGTCTGCTCCTGCTCTTCGGGAGCATAGCCATAGCAACAGGGTCTCGGCGTTGGCTTTCCCTTTTTGCTGGCCTTCTTGGCCAGCTTGTCCAGCTTGTTCTCTTTCTTGGTCTCGAAGAAGCTGAGCTCCTTCTCCTTCTTCTCCTCCCACCACTGCTTGAACTTGTCCCACTCGTCCTCCTTCTTCTCCTTCTTGGCCTCCTCCTTGGCGCTGAAGAAATTGAGGAAATCAAGCTTCTTTTCCTCCAGCCAGCGCAGGTCCTTCTCCTTCTTCTCCTCCAGCTTCTCCACGAGACTCTCCAGCTTCGGCAGCTTCACCAGCCACCCATGGACGGTCTGCAGCGCTGCAAGAAGGCCCATCCAGTAATGAGAATGGGATATTGTCGCGTCTCCCCGTGCCACTTACCCACGAAGGCCACCAGCAGCAGCATCAGTTTTTGGCCAAATCTTAGCATGTTCCCTTGGATCTCACTCGCTCCGTTTCGACTTCTGTCTGGTCCAAGCCAATTTCTTGGCTACTTATAACCCGAAAGAACGAACCTGCACAGCAGAGCAGAGCAGACCAGAGCTGTGCAGCTCCGAGCACGTGCCCAACAGATGATAAGCACGTGCATTCATTCGGCAATCTGTCAAGCTCGCGGCATATTTGGGGACTGCCATGATACCCGTACCGCTCCGTGCCACAGCCGTTCCCATGCAGGGCTCGGTTCAATGCACTGACCTCAGCCCAGCCCAGCCCATGCTTATACCCTGGCCTCTGGATTATCTGCGGATGCTGTAGTCTCTGTTTGTGTCCTGCTGCCCTGACATTTCTTTGGGTTCCTCTGACAACTCTCTGGGTTTCCTTGGCGTTCTTTCTGGGTGTCCTCAGACTCCTCTTTGGGGTTTCCCCCTCAGTTCTCTTTGGGTTCATCTGGATTCTCTTCCCTATGGGTATTTTGTGACATTCTCTTTGGCTTCCCTAGCAGACTGCTTCTCTCTTGCTGCCCCGTGGCATTTCTCTGCAGTCTCCCTGCATTCTCTACGGATTTACCCTGTCTTCTCTTTTTCTTTGGCTCTTCCCCCCCCCGGCCAGCTGTCACTCTGATTAGCCAGTGCATTACTCCTAATGTGGGTTCAGCAGGGGCAGACTTTTGGCCACGATTTGCCAAGATTTGTAACCCTGGACTCCAGAGCAGGCGCTACTAATTGACTTGGCTCTGGTATTGGTCATTATCATGGCTGGAGTGGCTGTCCGAAAAGGGGCTGTCTATGGGGTTGGCTGTGGGGCTGGCTGTGCCCCTGATGTGTTGAAAGTGGAAGTTAAATTGTATTTGCTTAGTGCGCCTCGTGTGGCAGCAGTTGGGAGTCCTGTGTGTGGGTGTGGGTGTTGGTGGGTGTTTGTGTTGAACAAATAGTTTGGCTAAATTAATTGCACACCAACTGTTTAGTCGTCTGTTTGTCCGTTGGTGTTTTATGAGTTTTTCTACTCCCCCCCACCCCGTGTCGACTGTTGCTGTCGTGACTCTGTCAACGGTTGCTCCTTGTGAGGGGCAGGTACTCGTTACTCGTTACTCGTTACTGGCACTAGTTTATTATATTTCTTATTTTTTGCTGTTTCTAGCCGGAGCTATAGCCCCTTCTAGAAGATAGCCCCTTGGCACAGGTGTTTACTGTACTGAGTTCAATTCTCGTCGCACCATTAGTGATCTCGCTTTAGTCACGCTCATTGATAGTTACGAGTAAGTGCTGCTGCAATTATGACACTGTGACACTGTCACATTTGCAGTCGCAGTTTCCAAGTCTTTTAAATAGTTTTAAAATATTTTGTGTATTTTTTGTGAAAATATATGCGAAAAGAAAAGCTTTCTCAGTCTCGTTGGGCGTTCCCCCTTATTGGGAAATGCGCACATTGTGAATGTTGCCCAGATCGAGGGGCAGACCGAGCTGCGGCTCCAGCACGCTATTGGCCACACCACCATCATCGTAGTCCTCGCTCAGATCATTGCTGATCGTGGTGGTTCTGGCTGTGGTCGTTGTGGTGGTGCTGGTGGTGGTCCCTCCTGGTCCCTCGGTTGTGGTGGTGCGGCGACGCGGCTTCCTTCCCTTGCGGCCACCGCGGCGACCCTTGCGCAGCCTACGTGACTTTGTGCCATAGACGATGGCCGCGTAGGGTTCCATTGTGTACACGGTGTAGGCCAGCGGCGTGGTTGCATCGGTGGTACTCGCTGCATCACTGCTACTCGTTGTTGTATCTGCTGCAGTCGTTGTAGTTGTAGTTGCAGTCGTTGCAGCTGTTGCAGTCGTTGCAGCTGTTGCACTCGTTGAATCTGTAATGTTTGTGGCTTCTGTGGTTATCGATGATTGTGTGCTTGTTGTTGTGGCTTCTTGAGCGGCTGTGGTTAGTTCTGTGGTTATGAGTGGCTCTGCGGTTGTGCTCGACAGAGTGGTTGTAGCTGTGTCTTGTGTGGTTGTGGATGGGTCTGATGCAATGGTTGTCGTGTCTTGTGGGGCTGTTGTTGTTGTGGCTTCTGTTGGCTGTGTGGTGGCAGTAACATTTGCAGTGTCTGTCGTTGTTGTCTGCACTGCAGCTGTGGATGATTCTTCGGTGGTTGGGGCAGCTGTAGTTGCTTGTGTGCTGGATGTGGATGATGTGGATGAAGTGACTGTTGTGGTTGTCGTTGTTGTTGGGGACGTGCTAGATGTTTCGGTGCTGGTATCAGGTTCCGTGGTTGCCGTGGCCGGATCTGGTGTGGTGGTATCCGTGCCTGCCTCCGCCTCAGCGGCGGCAATCACCTCGCTGATGTTGATCGTGATCGTCTCGTTGTGGCGCGTCCCGTTTGTCGTCTCTAGCGTGTTGTTCGAGCTGAAAATTGTGGCCAGAAACGTGGAGTTCTGGGCGGCACAGAGCTGGCAGGCTGTGGGGGCAAGAGACACCATCAGATTTGGATTCGGATTTGGAATCAATTAGCTGAAGCACACGCACACGCACGGCGGCCACTAATTACCTAATGTTGTCACCACAACGAGTGCAATTAAATGTCTACGTGTCGCCGGCATCGTCAGCGTGTGGGTTGAAGACTATTCTCGCCGTGCGAACAGCTTTCCGTTTCGATTCGTTTCGTTTCCTTAATTAGCCTGCGGTTCGTGGGCTGCTGATGCTGCTGCCTGCTGTCTGTGCTGTCTCTCGTGTGTGTCTTGGGGTGTAGTGCTCTATAAATTTGGTTAATTGAACTGATTTTCAGAGTCCGCATCTCGTTCATTTTTATATTGATGCCAACACACAAGCCACGTCCGGAAACGTGTGGTCCGTACGTGCGATTGCCGATTAACTTATCATGTCTTCCTCCCCCCAGCCCCCCCACCAACCAGATGCCAATCTACCAATTGTCGATGCTGCTGCCACAAAAACTCTCGCTCTCACTCTCACTCTCTCACTGATGACGTCTTGGCCAGCTCTACAGCTGATGCCCGGAAGCTGCACTCACTTGTTGCCATCAGTTTTGCATATGTCTGGCTGATTGCCCCCTGCCCCATATGTCTGTCTGTCTGCCGGATGCATTGCACTGCATTCGATTAGACCGCTGCACGGCTCCGCCAAATGCAGCAGTCACGTAAACTTGGCCAACATCTTGAGCAGAATACAAACAAAAATAAACTATTTCGATTGCTTAATGTGCCAGAGGCAGGGGAGTCTGACTGCAGTTGGATGTAGGGAATACATATATATAGTCCTTGGAGGCTGTAACACGTACAAGAGAAAGCCTGTGCCTGCAAATAAGCAAAAAGAATAAAACACAGCTGCCATTTTACTGTTATGTTTTGTTCTTTTGTTTCGCATAATTAAGTTCTATAAACAGAACGACTCATAGGAGAGCAACGCCTACTTTCACCCACTTTCCTGCCACACTGCAGCATTTTTTTTTTGCAAAAACAAATCCACGCTTGGACTGCTCATTTATGATTATAAAACCAGTATATTTTTTATGGGTAATTCCATACTGCGGTTACGTTATTCGTCGACAAAATGTTACAAAAATGTATAAATAATTTAAAACTGTTTTATTCCCATTTATTGTATATGTAGACTTCAACTTCAATAGAAAAGATAAGCAACAACGTACAGATGTGTACCTAAATATTATATATTATATTATATATATATTATATTTATGATTATATTATATTATATTATATTATTATATGTCCCATTGGATACAGCCCTGAAACAAATTGTTTGCTATTTTTCGATATATTAATCCATTTTTGTGGAGGTTTAGTATTTCTTGCCGTCGCAAGGCACTGCACTGCACTCCCTTACCCAACCTGAATATTTAAATTTTATTTTAGTAATGTTTTTGGCTTTGAACTAGAACTACTTACTGGCAATATTTCAGAGCAATATTACTTATATTTATATTTATTTCGCACATGCTTAACACGAGCTCTACGCAAAAAATGATCAATCACTGCAAAACGACTAGCAAAACGGGTTTGCAAGCGATCGTTTGGACATGTTTAGACATGCATGAAGATAAGATAACGCAGGGCTGCCCTGGCCCTCTCCTCGAGCTCTCTTGTTTTGTAATTTCTCCCTTTGTGCTGTGTGCCAGCACACCGAAAGCCCAACAAATGCAAACAACTTTGTGTGCATGCGATGCGTCCAGCAAGAACCGGTTTTGTCTCTTCTCTGATTGCTGTTAGCCCCGACTCTTGTTATGATTTTGTTGTTGTCTTTTCTTCGAGCTTGCACTCTTTCCTTATTGGAATTTGTGTTTTTGTTTGTGAGCATTGGTGAGTGCTTCGCCGTGAGCTGATTTTGGGCACCCATTATATCACTTATAGTCGTTTCATTCCAGTAGAGAGGGACAACGGCTGGAGCATTGCTAGTAGGTCTGTTCCTAATATTAAACACATGGCTGTATTTACATATGTACATATAAGCTAAAATATGGCTTAACGTTAGTCTACCACATAACATAAGTTCGGGTTCTGGGGGCATGACCATCTGTAGACAAATTTTTGGACTATTAAATAAAATACTTAGTGCTCATTTTGCAAATTATTTGATAAATAAATAAATATAATAAATAAAAATATAAATAATAAATTAACAATTTTTTGTTATTTGTTTCTATTTAATAAAATATTGAGTGTTCATTTTGCACGTTATTAAATAAATAAAAAAAAAAATAATAAAATAAACAAATTTTTTTACTATTAAATAAATAAAAAATATTGCGTGTACATTTGCAAGTTTTTTAATAAATAAACCCCTACTGCTTGTTTATTTCATTAAATTCTAGGGCTTTAAAAGTTTACCAAAATATACCGTTCGCCTAGACTGGGAATATTGTAGATTTTATTTGTTGATAGTTAGAAAGATTTTGTGGCAGAAATTGTATCCAGAATCATCTTGCTTATAGGAGCTGGTAAAAAAAAAATGAAAATACAACCACAAAAAAGACAACAAATTTTAATAGGTTTTCGCATTAAAGTTAATGAAGTTAATAATCAATAAATTTAGAATATAATATGGGGACGGAATTAAATACATGGAAATGGGTTTTTATTGACTGTAAATGTTTTTTGGCATGGTGGCCTTTTTTTTAACGGAAATTCCCATACAAATCATCCCTGCGATTAAAAGGTAAAGGCAACTTTGTCTCATTAAGCCGCCCCATTAAGTGTCTTTAATTGTGGCAGCGAACATTGATACAAAAAAAAGAGGGAAATTAATCGCAAAAAAGGTGGGAGGGCCGACAGATATTATGGCAACTGATTAGCTCGGATAACTAGCGACGAATGTGCTGAAAATCGTTTAAATGACGGCATTAAAAAACAGAGAGTTTTAATTAAGTATTTACATGGCATTCCACTCTCCTCTCCACCGATCCACCGCTCAAATCGGATAATTATAAATTAAATTTAAATTTAATGTGAACGTAAACGTGACGAGGGCTTAATGAGAATTGTAATGACAGCAAAGCACCCAAAAGAGAAAGAGAGAGAGGGGGGTGTTACAGCAGCAAAATGGATAGTTGCAGCCAGCACCTGTAAAAAGGAAGAGAACCCCAACATAGAATTGACATAACGAAATACTTAAAAGTTTTTACAGTCCATTCCAGAGATGGCCTCTGACGTAGGAGAACGAACCGAACCCCCTGCCCATGGGATAGACAATAAGCCATAGAGCACGCTCCAGATTTGTCGGGGGTCGTACGTGATCTAATCGGTCTGAGAGTTCTACTGCGAATGGGTATAAAAGCCGCTGTCGGTGCTTGCAGCAGACAAACAGTTCGATAACTTCATTCGGTCTAAACATGTTCAACAAAACGATCTTGGTAGCCCTCATCCTGTGCGGTGGGTTATTCCCGATATTGGATCGCAGGCCAGACTACAATTTTCGTTTAATCTTGCAGCCTGCTACCTGAGCGCCAGCCAAGCCCGTCCCCAACTGGACATACTCGGTCCAGCCGTCGGCGGAGCCACCCAAGGAATCGCCCAGGGAGCCACCGGTGGACTAGTCAGCAAGCCTGGCGAGCTGATTGGCAGCCTGACCAAGACGGCAACTGGTGGTGGCGGCAGTGGCCTGCCCCTGCCCGACATTTCGCATCTCAGTGGCTGAAGCATCTGAAAGAGCAGTCTGCATATAATTTCTGTAAATCAGCACGCGGTGCAGCCAACTTGAAATTTCTCTGAGCAACCTTTTTGTGTAATGTTTTTGTATTAATTGTGTAAAATTGAAATTAAATGGAATTATATTGAGCAGCGTACAAATATGATTGTGGAATTGCTTTGGGGGCTTTATTTATATTTATATATTATATTTATATTATATATATTTATATATATATTTATTTATAGTAGTTTATTTATTTATAGTATTACTCACTTTTTGCATTTTTAAGTGTGCCAGCAACTTGCTTTAATTATGCAACAAATTCAAAGAAATTTTACAACTATTTACTCACTTTAGGTCGAAGTTGAAGAACGCAAATTCTAGACACTGATATGTCTGGTATGTCCGCGAGCCAAATTCCAACTGAAGGCCCATTAATTCTTGTCTCAAAAAATTAATCGCTGCTACGTGTGTGACCCACACGTAGGACTCTATGGGGGCTATGGATTCGCGACTATTTATGGCAGGGCACTGGCTGCGTAGCGCTCAGTTTTTGCTGCCAGTATGTCCCGCCAAGTAGTAGCCACTCTCATTGCTCTGGTCTGTGGTAAGTGCTCTGTGTTGCAAGCGGCAAGTAGTGCACATTTTTTACCCTTCAACCATTTCGCAGTGCTTTTGCCGTTGTCCTGGTGCATGCCCAGCCAGGCAACGCAGCAGCAGCAGCAGGAGGCGACAGCGATGACACGTCGCGAGATCATCAAGCAGTTTGTGGCCCGAGTGCAGGCACTGATAATCGAATTGATGGACAAGCTAAAGGCGCTCAATGCCCTTGGCTAGCAGACACAATGCGGATAATAATAAAGAGAGAAATACGGATAAGGATAAGAATAAAGAGAGAGAACGGGGAAATCCATAATAAAGTTTGAGCAAAAGTTGATGTGATGTGATGTGCAGTGATGTGAAGTGTTCCCCCATGATGGATAATCAAGCGCACAGCTCGTCCGCGGCTAATGAACATCCCGTTGGTGCTTTTTGGGTCACCAAAATGTGTCGTGGGTCACCATTATGCGTGTCCCATTGCGGTGACTGTACTTTCGTTGAATGGGGGTCAAATGCCAGCTGGGACAGCCCCAAAATTATGCCACAAAAGAAGAAAAGTGTGTGCTGGGGCAGGGGCAACAAAATCTTAACGAAATTTCTCACGTTTGCCATAATTACGAGCAAAATACGTGACATGTGTGTTGACGGTGATATTTACCAACAAGAGAGCTGCGTTGCGGTGGGGTTTAACTTTGGGTTAGCTAACAGCCACGCCCCCCCATCCCGCCAATATGCGATATGCGATATACGGATATATGCGAGTGTGTGTGTGGCAGAGTGTGGCAGACTTGGAGCTTGAAGCTAGTGCCGAGTTTGTAAATGGTAATAATACCAATAAAAATCTGTGTACAACAACCCCTCGACCACCACCCTCAACCCACGACCCTGAAGCTCAACATCAATGCGATCTAACGATGTAATTCAGAAAAATCTCTTGAACAAATGTTTGTGACTCCTGGTCCGTGACTCGAAGCCAGCCAGAGAGAGAGAGAGCGAGAGAGAGAGAACGAGGAAGAGAGAGGGAGAGAGAGCGAGGAAGAGAGCGAGAGCGAGTCACCACATTAATAATGGTCTGGGGATTGAGATGGCGGCGTGCTGCTGTGCTGCCTTTTCCATATCCTTTGAATAATTCAGGCAGAGCTGAGAATCTGTTTTTCTTTCCTTCTTTCTTTCTTTTTTTTTGTGCTTCTTAAAGTTTTGGCAGCCGACACGGGGAGAGCGAGAGCGAGAGCGTTGCGTGATTGAATTGCTGCCTGATTGACAGTTGACAGTTGAAATTGATTTGGCTGCGGAGATGTCATGCGGCGCTCCACGATGCTGTACGGTGGTTGAAACAATCCATATCCAGCACAGCACAGCACAGCACCCATCCATCCATCCATCCATCTAGCCATCAGTGGAAGCCAAAAGCAGAGACCGAGCTGCGAGCTGCGAGCTGCGAGCTGCCACACTTATTAATCCCCCGAGTGCAGGCGTGCATAAGTATCGGGCAAATGGATTAGAAATTTTTATGTGCACCACGACTTGGGCATCGACTTGGCTGGCGGTTGGCGGTTGGCGGTTGGCGGTTGGCGGATGTGTGGCCAAAGGATTTACCCCATGGCCACACACACAGCAACAGCATCGTCCAATGTTACCTCAAATCTGTTGCTATTTAATTAAGTTGGATGGACCACGCCCATGCGGATGTCTGGGGTGGTGAGTGCTAGCATATGGGAACTCCATTCTGCATCCATTTGCACTTCCACTTCCACATCCATTTGCTGCCAGTTGCTTGTGTGACAGTTAATGAACTTCTGTCACTCGTCGTGGGGCGTCGCCCTCTTTGTTCTTCGCTAATCAGAGTTACTCCCGGACAAGCGGTACATCCCCGTACTCTGCCACTCGTATGTGAGCGGCATAACGATGCGCTGACTGGGGTGGGTTGGGGTGGATGCAGTCAATTAATTGATGGATGATGTGCATAATGAAATGCGAACGCGAATTGCGGGCTGCCTCCTCTTGCTGGGGGGGCTGTAAACTGTAAAACCATGCTAAAAGTATGTGCAATCTGTGATCTGTGGAGCATTTCCTATGCCTTCAATTCTTCCTTCCAAATCTGCCAAAGTCTCTGGCTAGCAGCAGTCCCCGAATAAATAAATCCCCAGCAGTTGCAAGTAGCCCAGCTTGGAATGCTTTTTACGCCCATTCCTATTCAGCTTCAATTTCAGGTTTCATTTTCAAGCTAGAGCGTCGCAGTTCATGTGTCCTTTGGGGGCTCTGCAGAGTCAATCGAAGGTTGCACACAAAATGTTCAACGAGTATTGATTGCTTTGACAAATCTGAGGCACGTGTAATTTCATTACAATGCCCGAATCGGGCCCCGACACGAGATTACCACAAAAGGCAGCAGACTCTGGAACAGAGAGAGAGAGCGAGAGAGCGAGAGAGAGTCCCCAAAGTGAAGCAGAAAGGAAAGCAGAAGGCGGTAGGCGGAAGGCGGGAGGGGCGGTAGAAGGGCAGGAGCAATGTCTATCCTTTTGTGTGTGTCTGTCTGTGTCTGTGTATGGAAAATTAAATTCAATTGTGTGACAAGTTAATCCTATTTCTCATCTCCCAACTCTCCCAACTTTTATTTAAGCTTCATTCTTTATGCATTACAAGCGAGAGAGCAAGTGCGTGTGGGAGTGAGAGTGGGCATGGGGGATGGTTGCCAAGGGCAGTGCCAGTGGCAGTGGCAGTCAATCAATCAGTTCGTCAGTCTGCCAGTCAGTCAGTCAGAGAGTCAGTCAGAGAGTCAGTCAGTGAGTCGGCGAGTCAGTTACTCCAGGGGCAGCGTCATAGGCTGTCAGAAATGTTTGATATGTTGCCTGTCTATGTCTGCCGAGTGAAAGCGTTTCGCTGAAGGGTTGCTGCTGCTGCCATTACCCCTGGGGATTGCAGTTCTCTGTCTCTGTCTCTCTGGCAACACTTCATTAAACGCATAAAGCAATAAAATGTGCTCTCGATGAACAAAACAAAAGCTGGCCGCCCCACACCCACACCCAACCCCAGCCCACCCGTTGGAACTGCCAGCTACGAGCCCCAACGACTGTCTGACAGCCTGACGGTTGCCTGCTAATGGCAGTGCCAGAAGGAGCCACTCGCATCGATGTCTGACTGGAGCGACTTCTGAGGCATCTTCCTCCTGATTGATGCCCGAGAGCAATGGAATGTGTGAACCCCCCCCCATGACCACCCACGCCACCTTAATCTGAGGGAGTGAATTTTCATATGCGAATTAATGGAGCAGTGCTAATGTTTAATAGACTAGCCGGAATGGGCTGGTGGTAATCGAATTGCCCATTGGACTGGAAAGTTGTGTGCCGGACATTGCCTCATCGTCGCCACATCCAAATATAGAAGAGCCCATGGATGGCCCCGCAGCACAGATTAGGCATCGCCCTGTCCCCAGTCGCCGGTGTAGGCGGGCGAAATCTGCACGTTCCACACGAACAGGCTGTCGCCGCCGTCCACGTAATAGTTGAGGCCAAAGTGTCGGTTCCGTATACGCCGCAGGCTCAGCACCAAACGCTGGGCATTGCTCAGATAAATCTGCTGGGCCTCCCAGGCGGTCGCCTCGGGGCGGGCCACCTCGAAATTGAGCGGCACATTGCGAGCGGCCAGATAATGTTGCATGCTCAGCTCCATGAGAATCTCCTCCAGCACCTCGGCTGGCAGCACACCCTCAAAAATGGCTGCCTCGATGGCCTCCTCCAGGCGGGCGCCCATCATCAGCTGATCCATGAGCGGCTCAAAGGGCGGCTCCCACTCATTGTGCACCCGATCCAAGTCAAAGGCCATAATATCCTGCTCCTCCTGCTGCCCCCTGCTGCGCCTCCTGCTGCTGCTCCTGCTCCTCCCCCCGTCCATCTTTTGCTTCTTTCTCTGTTTTCTGGGCTGTTTAATTTGGGATTCAGTTGCCTGACAAATGGCTTAATTTGGGCTACTTTCCAAATGGATTTACTCTGTATTTCGGGGGGGCCGGCTAGCCTACGGTCTACATATTACAAATCCAAACAACAAATCGAAACTGCCGAGTGGGTGCTGAGTGCAAAGAAAATGCTGCTGTGATGGCAGAGACTCAGACTCGCTCCAGAGTCCGCTGCCTTGAGCACACTCGATGCATATTTAATTAAAGTTTCACCTTGTCAAGGGGCTGCGTCCCAAGCACTTTGCTCTCTCGCTTCAATCAGCCGCTGAATGGGATGGTTGATGCTGATGCTGATGCTGATGCTGTGGATGCTGACGTTGGGCTCTGCAAATCATGTTGTTGAGGGACCTGTCCCCTGTGCCTGTCCCCTGTCCCCTGTGCCTGTGCCTGTGCCTGTCCTCAGGAATACTTAAAAGCAACACGACAAGCAATAATTAAATCAGTTTTAATTAATGCAAAAAGCGAAAATTTCAAAAGACGTCGCTAGACTTTCAGACATGGAAAACAGAAAACAAAACGAAGGCCACAGGCACACAGAGCCGTACACAGAGCCATATCCGTACCCGGACCCGGCATAAAGCAGCGCTTCATGGGTTTCCGGGCAACGTTTTGTTGCTACGGCTACCATTACAACTCAATTGTAATCCAATTTTGGGCAGGCATATAAATCCGATCCGATTCAGGCCTCCGCTGCGACGACTGTGGCAACGTGTGCCAACAGTTGGGGGAGTGGGCGCAAGGGGGAGACGTCACTGGTGTCTGTGTCAACTTTTTCGGTGTCAAATAAATAAACTTTTGACAGTCGGCAGACAGGCCAGCGGGGTACCGAGAGCTCCAACCCAATCCGTTTTGTGTACGACGGAAATGTAAATTAGTAAAACGGGCAGTCATTGGAAAAGTGGGAAATTGTGAGTGGGGCAGGGCAATCAATGGCTTTAATGGAAATGTCCAACTCACTCGCTTCAAGCTTCTGCTTCATTCTTATTCTCATTCTGCTGCTGATGCTCCTCCTACTCCTTCTCTTTCTGCTTCTGCTTCTGCCCATGTGGCACTTCAACTCTTGATAACTGCAAATTAGTTGCACATGTTGCCGCATGGCCCACAACTCAAAACAAGACGTGTTTGCACTAATTTGGCCAAAATCAACAGCTGTGTGTACATGTGCCCCTCCACACCACACCGCTACACATCACACTACCCCACACTCGTCTCAGCTTGGCTCGGGCCGGCCTCCATCTGTGCGAGTGCAGGGGAAAAACTCATCATAACTTTCTTATCAAAAACTTATTCCAAGCCCCGAGAT